TTTGATTATTATTATTTGAATTACTAATTTGAATCAGCTCTTTAGTATGTATAAATAAGCAATAGTGTTTATAGCACTAGCAATTTTATCTAATATCAATAATAGCGTTATTAGAATCAGGTAATAATTGATATAATAAACCAAATGAACTAAATAAAAATCAATAACGAACTTGCATAATATAATTCACAAAGGTATAGTATTATTATTTTGCGCTAGAGTATTATAAAAGGATTTTATTGACAAAAAAAAAATTGTTTTATAGTCACAAGTTTTTTTTTTCCAGTTAGGCTTTAAAAGAAAATGAAAAAATCCAAATACGTGAACCAGTAAAAAGAATGACTGCAGAAGTTAAACATTTATTAGAAATAATATTTCACATAGGAACAGTCAATCTTCATTAGAAAATGAGTACACAACAAATGCATGAGGAATTATTATAGCGAGTATAAGAAGATGAATTATGTGAATATTAAGATAAGTTTTACATGTATGATGAGCCATCTATGATATAAGTTTTATTTGATAATTATCAAGCATATCATTAAATTCTGATCCTAATTGTTCTTTTAATTGATCAAAAAAACTAAATAAACTTTTACAATTATCACAGGTATCAGGATGATCAATATTACAATATCCAAATGCACCGTAAGTCTTGTGATTTTCCTTATAATTGTTTCTATAATTGTAATTTATTATTAGAAAAATTTGAATTTTTTGATTTATTTACTTACCTGTACTAATTCATCAGTTATATATGCTGCAATTAGTATATTAATATCACCAAATACTAAATAGCCATTATCATTACATGTTGAATACAATCCACCAAGATTATCTTGATATATAAATCGTCCACCTTTAATTTAATCATAAAAGAAGTTCTTCACATACCATTAGGATACTGTTCTAAAAATCATTCTCATAATGCCTTTTTGTGATTTTGCAAATATAAAAGTAGCAATCCAATAGAGGTATCTGTTTTGTATGAACTCATATTCACAATTTCTTTATTAGAAAAAAATTGTTCAAACTGATCTAACATTTCTGCAGTAAA